GCCGAGCACAGCCGAACCGAGCCGGCAGGAAGAGCCGAGCACAGCCGAACCGAGCCGAGCACAGCCGAACCGAGCCGAACCGAGCCGGCAGGAAGAGCCAAGCACACCCGAACCGAGCCGGACTGAGCCCACCCGAGCCGAACCGAGCCGGCAGGCAGACCCGAGAGGGGCCGAACCGAACCGAATTGACCCGAACAGAGTCGGGAGAGGCCGGGAAGAGCCGAGGAGACCCGAACCGAGCCGAACAGACCCGAACTGACTCCGAACGGACCCAAACCGACCCGAACCGACCCGAACTGACCCGAACCGACCCCGAACCGACCCGAACAGACCCGAACCGACCCGAACTGACCCCGAACCGACCCGAACCGACCCCAAACCGACCCGAACCGACCTAAACCGACGCCGACCCGAACAGACCCCGAACCGACCCAAACTAACCCCGACCCGACCCTAAACTGACCCGAAGCGACCTGAACCGACCCAAACAGACCCGAACCGGCCCCGACCAGACCCGAACCGACCCGAACCGATCCGAACTGACCCCGAACAGACCCAAACCGACCCGAACTGACCCCGAACCGATCCGAACAGACCCGAACCGACCCCGAACAGACCCAAACCGACCCGAACTGACCCCGAACAGATCCGAACTGACCCGAAACGACCCGAACTGAACCGACCCGAACAGACCCAAACCGACCCGAACCGACCTAAACCGACCCCGACCCGACCCGAACTAACCCCGAACCGACCTGAACCGACCTGAACCGACCCCGAACAGACCCGAACTAACCCCGAACCGACCTGAACCGACTCGAACCGACCCCGAACCGACCTAAACCGACCCCGAACAGACTCGAACCGACCCCGAACAGACCCAAACCGACCCGAACTGACCCCGAACCGGTCCAAACTGACCCGAACCGAGCCGAACTGAACCGACCCCGAACAGACCCAAACCGACCCGAACCGACCTAAACCGACCCCTACCCGACCCGAACTGACCCCGAACAGATCCGAACTGACCCGAAACGACCCGAACTGAACCGACCCGAACAGACCCAAACCGACCCGAACCGACCTAAACCGACCCCGACCCGACCCGAACTAACCCCGAACCTACATGAACCGACCCGAACCGACCCAAACCGACCCCGAACCGACCCGAACTGACCCCGAACCGACCTGAACCGACCCCGAACAGACCCGAACCCCGACCCGACCTGAACCGACCCGAACCGACCCCGAACCGACCTAAACCGACCCCGAACAGACCCGAACTGACCCCGAACCAACCCGAACTGACCCGAACCGATCCGAACAGACCCGAACATGACCCCGAACCGACCTGAACCGACCCAAACAGACCCCTACCCGACCCGAACTGACCCCGAACTCAACCCGAACTGACCCGAACTGACCCCGAACAGACCCGAACTGACCCCGAACAGACCCAAACCGACCCGAACCGACCTAAACCGACCCCGACCCGACCCGAACAGACCCCGAACCAACCCGAACAGACCCCGAACCAACCCGAACAAACCCGAACCGACCCGACCCGCTCCCAAACAGACCTGAACCGACCCGAACGGACCCGACCCGACCCGAACCTACCGCAGCCGAACAGACCTGAATGGAGCCAGGTCGAGCCGAGCTCTGCCGATGGAGGGCATGGAGCCAGGGCTGCGACTGGGGGTGCTGGGAGCACTGGGGTGAGGGACCGGGATGTACTGGTCTGTACTGGGCTGTTCGTGTCTGTATTGGTCTGTGCCAGGCTGTACTGGGCTGTATAGGGCTGTACTGGTCTTACTGGTCTGTTTTGGTCTTTACTGGGCTCTGTAGGGCTTTACTGGTCTGTACTGCTCTGTATTGGTCTGTAGAGGGCTGTACTGCTCTTACTGGTCTGTACAGGGCTGTTCTGGGCTGTACAGCTCTGTACTGGGCAGTATTGGGCTGTACTGGGCTGTATTGGGCTGTACTGGGCTGGACCGCTCTCTACTGGTTAATACTGGTCCGTACTGGTCTGTACCAGGCTGTACTCAACTGTATTGGGCTGTACTGGGCTGTACTGCTCTGTATTGGGCTGTACTGGGCTGTACTGCTCTGTATTGGGCTGTACTGGTCCATACTGGTCCGTACTGGTCTGCACCTGGCTGTACTGGGCTATACTGGTCCATACTGGTCTTTACCAGGCTGTACTGGTCCATACTGGTCTGTACTGGTCCGCACTGGTCCATACCGGTCTGTACTGGTGTGTACCAATCCATACTGGTCCGCACCAGGCTGTACTGGGCTACGCTGGTCCATACTGGTCTTTACTGGGCTCTACTGGTCCATACTGGTCTGTACCGGTCCATACCGGTCCATAGTGGTCCGTACTGGTCCATACTGGTCCATTCTGGTCCGTACCGGTCCATACCAGTCCATACTGGCCTGTATTGGTCTGTACTGGCCCATACTGGTCCGTACTGGTCTCTAGCAGTCCATACTGGTCCATATTGGTCTGTACTGGTCTCTAGCAAACCATACTGGTCCATACCAGTCCGTACTGGTCTCTAGCAGTCCATACTGGTCCATACCGGTCCGTACTGGTTCATACGGGTCCGTACTGGTCCATACTGGTCCATACTGGTCTGTACTGGTCCATACTGGTCTGTACTGGTCCGTACTGGTCCATACTGGTCCGTACCGGTCCGTACTGGTCCATACTGGTCCATACTGGTCCATACCGGTCCATACCGGTCCATACTGGTCCATACCGGTCCATACCGGTCTGTACTGGTCGGTACTGGTCCATACTGGTCCATACCAGTCCATACCGGTCCATACTGGTCCATACCGGTCCGTACTGGTCCATACTGGTCCATACCGGTCCATACTGGTCCATACTGGTCCATACCGGTCCATACCGGTCCATACTGGTCCATACCGGTCCATACCGGTCTGTACTGGTCGGTACTGGTCCATACTGGTCCATACCGGTCCATACCGGTCCATACTGGTCCATACCGGTCCATACCGGTCCATACTGGTCCATACTGGTCCATATCGGTCCATACTGGTCTGTACCAGTCCATACTGGCCTGTATTGGTCTGTACTGGTCCATACTGGTCCGTACTGGTCTCTAGCAGTCCATACTGGTCCATATTGGTCCGTACTGGTCTCTAGCAGTCCATACTGGTCCATACCGGTCCGTACTGGTCCATACTGGTCCATACTGGTCCGTACCGGTCCGTACTGGTCCGTACTGGTCCGTACTGGTCCATACTGGTCCATACTGGTCCGTACCGGTCCGTACTGGTCCGTACTGGTCCATACTGGTCCATACCGGTCCATACTGGTCCATACCGGTCCATACCGGTCCGTACTGGTCCGTACTGGTCCATCCCGATCCCTTACCCCGCATCCACCACCTCCCGCCCGCCAGGTGGCGCCTTTCCCCTCCCGCCGCCATCTTGGTCGCGTCCTGTCCCCACCCGCAACCCTCTCGTTCCCATCACCCCCCACTTCCGGCCCGGGTCCCCGCCCACTTCCGCCCTCACCGGAAGCGTTGCGGCGTTGCCACGGCAACGGCAGGGCCCGGGCCTGGTGCGGCCGCGCAGGTACCGGGGGGAAGGGGGGGGGGGGGGAATGGGACCGGGACCGGGACCGGGACGGGGTCAAGGGGGGGGGGGGGGGAGGGGTCCAAATGTGTGGGGGATGGGGGGGGGGGATGGGACCGGAGCGGGGGAGGCCGCGGTGTGGGAATGGGGGGGGGAGGGGAGGCCTCGGGACAGGGCCCCCCCATCCCCATCCTCCCCCCAGGCCTTGGGATTCGAATTGGGAATGCGATGGAGCAGGACCCCTCCCCCCCACCCCCATTCCCGGTTGGATTTTGCCCGGCGTAGTTCCCGGTTCCCAAGGGATTCGCTTCCGCCTTGGGTTGGGGGAGGGGGGGGGTGGGGGTGGGGTCAATCCTGGGTTAGGGAACGGGGAAAACGGGAGCGGGGGATGGGCAAAACGGAGCTTTCTTCCCTGTTTCCTATGGGATCCCTTCCCTTCCCCTATAGGATCCCTTCCTTTCCCTATAGGATCCCTTCCCTTTCCCTATAGGATCCCTTCCCTTTCCCCTATAGGATCCCTTCCCTTTCCCCTATAGGATCCCTTCCCTTTCCCTATAGGATCCCTTCCCTTTCCCTATAGGATCCCTTCCTTTTCCCTATAGGATCCCTTCCCTTTCCCCTATGGGATCCCTTCCCTTTCCCTTATAGGATCCCTTCCCTTTCCCTTATAGGATCCCTTCCTTTTCCCTATAGGATCCCTTCCCTTTCCCCTATAGGATCCCTTCCCTTTCCCCTATAGGATCCCTTCCCTTTCCCTATAGGATCCCTTCCCTTTCCCTATAGGATCCCTTCCCTTTCTCCTATAGGATCCCTTCCCTTCCCCTAAAGGATCCCTTCCCTTTCCCCTATAGGATTCCTTCCCTTTCCCTATAGGATCTCTTCCCTTTCCACTATAGGATCCCTTCCCTTTCCCCTATAGGATTCCTTCCCTTTCCCCTTTAGGAATCCTTCCCTTTCCCTATAGGATCCCTTCCCTTTCCCTATGGGATCCCTTCCCTTTCCCCTATAGGATTCCTTCCTTTTCCCTACAGGATTCCATTGTTAAGCGCAGCCCGCACAATCCGGACCCGGTGCATCCAGCACCATTCCAAGCCAGTTTTCCCAGCTCCTCCACGCCCCTGGCCCCGCGGTGGACACAATTCCAGCGAGCAGGAAGCCCTCAAGTCCCTGTGGATCATTCAGCGGACGGCAACGCTTTGCCCTCCATGATTCCGGAATCCGACGGCGTTGGATGCTCAACCCCCATGGCCGTCATCCCGGAATTCCCATCCCTGCCTCCGGAATGCGCCGCCAAGCCCCGGCCGAGCCCCGGGATCCAGGGCTAAGCCTTCCCCCAATTCCCGTTTGGGAGGTGATGCCGGTGGCGGCTCCGGCGCCGTTCCCGTTGGGATCCACCGGCAGCGCTGCCCATGGCCGAGCACCAGGAGCTGGTGGCCGAGATGCCGGCGGTGGCGCGGCTCGGCATTCCCGACCGCCTCCGGCACGCCCGGGAGCGCCGGGCACAGCAGCTCCGGAGCTGGGCCCAAGCCGAGCGGGAAGCGCCGGGAGCCGAGAGGAAGAGGAGGAGGAGGAGGAGGAAGAGCGGCGGCGCCCAGGGGAAGAGGGTGACGTTCCCGGAGAACGTCCGGCTCTTGGAAGCGGCCGCCCGGCACGATGCGGAGGAGGGTGGGTGAGGGGGGAGGGAATCCCGTGGGATTGGGGTGGGAAATGGGGTGGAGATCCCGGATTTGGGTGTGAATGTGGTGGGAAATGAGCCTGGAGCTTGGGATGTTGAGGTGGGAGCAGGGTGAGGTTGAGCAAGGGCAAGGGATTGGATTTGGGTTGGGATAATCCCAATCCCGTGATGGAGGAATTTTCCTGTGGGAGATCCGATGGGATTGGGCTTGGAAATGGGGTGAAGATCCCAAATTTGGGTGTGAATGTGGTGGGAAATGAGCCTGGAGCTTGGGATGTTGAGGTGGGAGCAGGGTGAGGTTGAGCAAGGGCAAGGGATTGGATTTGGGTTGGGATAATCCCAATCCCGTGATGGAGGAATTTTCCTGTGGGAGATCCGATGGGATTGGGCTTGGAAATGGGATGGAGATCCCAAATTTGGGTGTGAATGTGGTGGGAAATGAGCCTGGAGCTTGGGATGTTGAGGTGGGAGCAGGGTGAGGTTGAAGAAGGGAAAGGAATTGGATTTGGGTTGGGATAATCCCAATCCTGTGCTAGAGGAAGTTTCCATTGGGAGATCTGATGGGATTGGGGTGGGAAATGGGATGGAGATCCCAAATTTGGGATTGAATGTGCTGGGAAATGAGCCTGGAGCTTGGGATGTTGAGGTGGGAGCAGGGTGAGGTTGAACAAGGGCAAGGGATTGGATTTGGGTTGGGATAATCCCAATCCCGTGATGGAGGAATTTTCCTGTGGGAGATCCGATGGGATTGGGCTTGGAAATGGGATGGAGATCCCAAATTTGGGTGTGAATGTGGTGGGAAATGAGCCTGGAGCTTGGGATGTTGAGGTGGGAGCAGGGTGAGGTTGAAGAAGGGAAAGGAATTGGATTTGGGTTGGGATAATCCCAATCCTGTGCTAGAGGAAGTTTCCATTGGGAGATCTGATGGGATTGGGGTGGGAAATGGGATGGAGATCCCAAATTTGGGATTGAATGTGCTGGGAAATGAGCCTGGAGCTTGGGATGTTGAGGTGGGAGCAGGGTGAGGTTGAACAAGGGCAAGGGATTGGATTTGGGTTGGGATAATCCCAATCCCGTGATGGAGGAATTTTCCTGTGGGAGATCCGATGGGATTGGGGTGGTAAATGGGATCGAGATCCCAAATTTGGGTGTGAATGTGGTGGGAAATGAGCCTGGAGCTTGGGATGTTGAGGTGGGAGCAGGGTGAGGTTGAGCAAGGGCAAGGAATTGGGTTGGGGTTGGGATAATCCCAATCCTGTGCTGGAGGAAGTTTCCAGTGGGGGATCCAATGGGATTGGGGTGGGAAATGGGATGGAGATCGCGGATTTGGGTGTGAATGTGGTGGGAAATGAGCCTGGAGCTTGGGATGTTGAGGTGGGAGCAGGGTGAGGTTGAACAAGGGCAAGGGATTGGATTTGGGTTGGGATAATCCCAATCCCGTGATGGAGGAATTTTCCTGTGGGAGATCCGATGGGATTGGGCTTGGAAATGGGATGGAGATCCCAAATTTGGGTGTGAATGTGGTGGGAAATGAGCCTGGAGCTTGGGATGTTGAGGTGGGAGCAGGGTGAGGTTGAACAAGGGAAAGGAATTGGATTTGGGTTGGGATAATCCCAATCCTGTGCTAGAGGAAGTTTCCATTGGGGGATCTGATGGGATTGGGGTGAGAAATGGGATGGAGATCACGGATTTGGGTGTGAATGTGGTGGGAAATGAGCCTGGAGCTTGGGATGTTGAGGTGGGAGCAGGGTGAGGTTGAGCAAGGGCAAGGGATTGGATTTGGGTTGGGATAATCCCAATCCCGTGATGGAGGAATTTTCCTGTGGGAGATCCGATGGGATTGGGCTTGGAAATGGGATGGAGATCACGGATTTGGGTGTGAATATGGTGGGAAATGAACCTGGAGCTTGGGATGTTGAGGTGGGAGCAGGGTGAGGTTGAGCAAGGGCAAGGGATTGGGTTGGGGTTGGGATAATCCCAATCCCGTGCTGGAGGAAGTTTCCAGTGGGGGATCCAATGGGATTGGGGTGGGAAATGGGATGGAGATCCCAAATTTGGGATTGAATGTGCTGGGAAATGAGCCTGGAGCTTGGGATGTTGAGGTGGGAGCAGGGTGAGGTTGAACAAGGGAAAGGAATTGGATTTGGGTTGGGATAATCCCAATCCCAGGCTGGGGGAAGTTTCCCGTGGGGGATCTGATGGGATTGGGGTGGGAAATGGGATGGAGATCCCAAATTTGGGTGTGAATGTGGTGGGAAATGAGCCTGGAGCTTGGGGTGTTGAAGTTTGAACATCATGAGGTTGAACAAGGCCTAGGAATTGGATTTGGGTTGGGATAATCCCAGTCCCAGGCTGGGGGAAGTTTCCATTGGGGGATCCGATGGGATTGGGGTGGTAAATGGGATGAAGATCCCAAATTTGGGATTGAATGTGGTGGGAAATGAACCTGGGGCTTGGGATGTTGAGGTGGGAGCAGGGTGAGGTTGAACAAGGGCAAGGGATTGGATTTGGGTTGGGATAATCCCAATCCTGTGCTGGAGGAAGTTTCTGGTGGGGGATCCGATGGGATTGGGGTGGGAAATGGGATGCAGATCCCAAATTTGGATGGGAGTATCCCATAAAATGAGCCTGGAGCTTGGAAGTGTGGATATGGGTGGGAGATTGAGGTTGAGGTGGGATGAGGATGGGGTTGAGATGGGAACACCATGAGGTGGGAGCAGGGGGTTGGGCCAATCCCAATCCCAGCACAGGCTGGAAGGGGACGGGATGGAGCATCCCTGAGGAGAAGGACTTGGAGGTGTCGGGTTTGGAGATGCTCCATGGGATCCAGCTCCATGGCTCCAGAGGGACCTGGATCGCCTGGAATGGGTCTGGAAGAAGCCATGGAGAAGCTCCATGAGGGTGGTGGGAGCCGGGAATGGGATGGATGGAGAAGTTCCGGATGCTCCCGTTGCCGGCAGCCGTTGGCTGGTGCTTGGAGCACCCTTTGGTCCCTTCCATCCCATCCTTATCCCATCTCCAACCCCGTTCCTCATCCGCAGTCCGACAATTCCTGGCCAGCGGCATCAGCCCCGACCTGTGCAACGAGGACGGTCTCACCGCGCTGCACCAGGTACCACCGCAACCCCCCCAAGATCCTTCCTGGATGGAGCTTCCCACCTTATCCCATGGTTTTCCACCTTATCCCGTGGTTTTCCCCACCTTATCCCATGGTTTTCCCCCTTATCCCATGGTTTTCCCCGCCTTATCCCATGGTTTTCCACCTTATCCCATGGTTTTCCACCTAATCCCATGGTTTTCCACCTTATCCCATGGTTTTCCACCTTATCCCATGGTTTTCCACCTAATCCCATGGTTTTCCACCTTATCCCATGGTTTTCCCCACCTTATCCCATGGTTTTCCACCTTATCCCATGGTTTTCTGCCTTATCCCATGGTTTTCCACCTTATCCCATGGTTTTCCCCACCTTATCCCATGGTTTTCCACCTTATCCCATGGTTTTCCCCACCTTATCCCATGGATTTCCCCACCTTATCCCATGGTTTTCCACCTTATCCCATGGTTTTCCCCACCTTATCCCATGGTTTTCCCCACCTTATCCCATGGTTTTCCCCACCTTATCCCATGGTTTTCCACCTTATCCCATGGTTTTCCACCTTATCCCATGGTTTCCCCCACCTTATCCCATGATTTTCCCCACCTTATCCCATGGTTTTCCCTCTTCCCAAGAGCTGCATCGATGACTGCGGGCCCGTGGTGACAGCGTTGGTGGACGCCGGCGCCGACGTCAACGCCGTCGACAGCGAGCTCTGGACCCCTCTTCACGCGGCCGCCACCTGCGGCCACCTGGGCCTGGTCCAGCTCCTGATCCAACGGTAACGCCGGGATCAGGATATGGGAATGGGCACGGGGGTGAGGGTCCCGTGGGTCCCGATCCCATGGGTTTATCCCTAAATCCCAGCGGAGCCGATCTGTTGGCGCTCAACTCCGACGGGAACATGCCCTACGACCTGTGCGAGGACGAGGCGACCTTGGACTGCCTGGAGAGCGCCATGGCCGCGCAGGGTGAGCGGCACCCCAGTGGATCCATTGGGATCCATTGGGATCCGTGGGGGATCCGTGGGGATCCGTGGCTTGTCCCTTCCTTGGTGGCGCCCTTAGGGATCACGCAGGAGAAGATCGAGGAGGCGCGCGCCGCTCCGGAGCGCGGGATGCTGGCGGAGATCCGGCGGCTCCTGGATGCCGGAGAGGACCTGGATGCTCCACGGGGACACGGAGCCACCTTGGTAGGGTGTTGGGAATGGGGTAGTTGTGGGGGGGGGACACGGGGACATGGTGGTGCCGAGCCTCATTCCCAACTGGATCCTCTCCATTCCCAACAGCTCCACGTGGCCGCGGCCAACGGGTACATGGAGGCGGCGGAGCTGCTGCTGGAGCATCGCGCCGGGATCGCCGTCCGGGATTGGGATGGATGGGAGCCGCTGCACGCTGCTGCCTGCTGGGGGCAGGTAGGGCAGCGGTCCTGGTGGAGTCGGCCTCATTCCCACCCCGATCGGGCCAAAAGGGGGCCAAAATTCCCCATTTTCAGCGGGATTGTGCTCAATCCTTGGCAAAATGCTCAATTTTCGGCAGAATTCCCCACTTTCAACCGGATTTTGCTCAATTTTGGGCAAAGGTTTCCAATTTTCAGGCAAATTCTTTCTGATTTTGCTCAATTTTCGGCAAAAAGGCCCAATTTTCAGACAAATCCTTTCCGATTTTGCTCAATTTTCATCAAAACTCTCAATTTTCAACCCTGTTTAGCTCAGGTTTAGGCAAAATTCCTAAGTTCAGGCAAATCCTGCCCAATTGTACTCAATTTTAAGCAAAATTCCCTATTGTCAGGAAAACCTTGCCTGATCTTGCTCAAGTTTAGGCAAAATTCTAATTTTGAGAATGATTTTGCTCAATCTTAGGCAGAATTCCCCACTTTCAACCGGATTTTGCTCAATTTTGGGCAAAGGTTTCCAATTTTCAGGCAAATTGTTTCTGATTTTGCTCAATTTTCGGCAAAAAGGCCCAATTTTCAGACAAATCCTTCTCAATTTTAGACAAAATTCCAAATTTTCAGCCTGATTTAGCTGAACTTCGGGCAAAATTCCCAATTGTCAGGCAAACCCTGCCCAATTTTGCTCAATTTTAGGAAAAATCCCAAATTTTCAGCCTGATTTAGCTGAATTTTTGGCAAAATTCCCAATTTTCAGGCAAATCCTGCCCGATTTTGCTCAATTTTAGGCAATATTCCAAATTTTCAGCCTGATTTAGCTGAATATTGGGCAAAATTCCCAATTTTCAGGCAAATCCTGCCAGATTTTGCTCAATTTTAGGCAAAATTCCAAATTTTCAGCCTGATTCAGCTAAATTTTGGGCAAAATTCCCAATTTTCAGGCAAACTCTGCTCAATTCTGCCCACTTTTGCCTGATTTGGGGTGAAATTCCCTGCTTTTCAGGTGAGTTCTGCCATTTTGAGGGCAAAATTTGGACAATTTTGCCTAAAATTGGGAAACATTGGGTTGAATCAGGTAGCGTTTCCTGAATATTTCAAACCCTTCCTGTTTTGGGGCAAAATCTCCCAATTTTCAGGAAAACCCTGCCTGATTTTGCTCAATTTGGGGTAAAACCACTTGATTTTCTGGCAAACCCTGCCCAATTCTGTCTAATTTTTCTCCATTTTGTTCAAAGTTGACTGATTCTGCCCGCCCATGCCCTATTTTGGCTGAAATAATCCAATTTTCAGGTAAATCTTGCCTGATTTTGGCCGATATTACCCAAACTGGCCTGATTTTCAGGCAAATCATGCCCAATTCCACCCAATTTTGCCCAGTTTTGGTCAAAATTGCCACATTTCCAGGCAAACCCTGCCCGATTCTGCTGGATTTTGGGCAAACCCATGCCATTTTCAGACAAACCCAGCCTCTTTTTATGTGATTTGGAGTGAAATTCCCAATTTTTCAGGCAACACCTGCCTTATGCTGCCCAATTTGGTGCAAAGTTGCCAAATTTTCCAACAAACTGCCCAATTCTTCCCAATTTTTTTGCTAAATCTCCCGATTTTCAGGCAAACCTGCCTCATTCTTTCTGATTTGGCCCGAATTTGCTCAAAATTTCCCAATTTTCAGGCAATCCCTGCCTCATTCTTCTTGATTTTGCTCGTTTTGGGGCAAAATTGCCCAATTCTGCCCAATTTTGCTCCATTTCGAGGCAAACCCTGCCCAATTTTGCCTAACCTGGGGCAAAATCACCCAATTTTTAGGTAAACCCTGCCTGATTCTGCCTGATTTTGGGTCAAATCCCTTGATTTTCAGGCAAACCGTGTCTGATTCTGTGGGATTTTGGACAAAATCACTGAATTTTCCACAATTCCCAATTCTGCAGGATTTTTCCCAATTTTGGGCAAAATTCACCAAATTTCAGGCAAACCCTTCCCGATTCTTCCAATTTGATCTGATTTTGGTCAAAGTTTCCCCGTTTTCAGTCAAACTCTGCCTCAGTCTGTCCGATTTGGGGCAAAATTCCCCAATTCTGCCCAATTTTCAGGCAAATCCTGCGCAATTTTGCTCAATTTTGCTCAAATTTTGCTCAAATTTGCTCAATTTTGAGCAAAATTCCCCAGATTTCAGGCAAACCCTTTCTGATTTCCTTCATTTTGCCCAATTTTTCCCCAATTTCCCCCAATTTCCTTTCATTTCCCACATTCCCTCCATTTCCCCCATTTCTTCCCATTCTCGCCCATTTTCCCCCCATTTTTCCCCAATTTCCTTCCAATTCCCCCATTTTTCCATCATTTTCTCTATTTTTTCCCCATTTCCCCCAATTTTCTCACATTTTCCCCAATTTCCCCCCATTTCCCCCCCTTTTCCCCAGTTTCACCCCAATTTTCCCCAATTTTCCCCCATTTTCCCACAATTTCCCCGTTTGCCTGCATTTCCCCCCATTTTTCAGGCAGTTTTCCCATTTCCCCTCCATTTTCCCCACAACTTTCCCATTTTCCCCCCATTTTCCCCCATTCCTGGCAGCTGCCCATCCTGGAGCTCTTGGTTGCTCATGGAGCCGACCTCAATTCCAAGTCGGAGCTGGATGAGACGCCCCTGGGTGAGTCCTGACCTTGTGTGTCCATCCCTGATCCCATCCCTGATCCCATCCCTTTGTGTGTCCATCCCTATTCCCAATCCCTTTGTGTATCCATCCCCATTCCCAATCCCTTTGTGTGTCCATCCCTGATCCCATCCCTTTGTGTGTCCATCCCCATTCCCAATCCCTTTGTGTGTCCATCCCCGATCCCATCCCTTTGTGTGTCCATCCCTGATCCCATCCCTTTGTGTGTCCATCCCTGATCCCATCCCTTTCTGTGTCCATCCCTATTCCCATCCCTTTGTGTGTCCATCCCATCCCCATCCTTTTGTGTGTCCATCCCCATTCCCAATCCCTTTGTGTGTCCATCCCTGATCCCATCCCTTTGTGTATCCATCCCCATTCCCATCCCTTTGTGTGTCCATCCCTGATCCCATCCCTTTGTGTGTCCATCCCTGATCCCATCCCTTTGTGTGTCCATCCCTGATCCCATCCCTTTGTGTGTCCATCCCCATTCCCATCCCTTTGTGTGTCCATCCCTGATCCCATCCCTTTGTGTGTCCATCCCCATTCCCAATCCCTTTGTGTGTCCATCCCTGATCCCATCCCTTTGTGTGTCCATCCCCATTCCCAATCCCTTTGTGTGTCCATCCCTATTCCCATCCCTTTGTGTGTCCATCCCCATTCCCATTCCTTTGTGTGTCCATCCCTGATCCCATCCCTTTGTGTGTCCATCCCCATTCCCAATCCCTTTGTGTGTCCATCCCTGATCCCATCCCTTTGTGTGTCCATCCCCATTCCCATCCCTTTGTGTGTCCATCCCCATTCCCAGTCCCTTTGTGTGTCCATCCCCGATCCCATCCCTTTGTGTGTCCATCCCTATTCCCAATCCCTTTGTGTGTCCATCCCTGATCCCATCCCTTTGTGTGTCCATCCCTATTCCCATCCCTTTGTGTATCCATCCCCATTCCCATCCCTTTGTGTGTCCATCCCCATTCCCATCCCTTTGTGTGTCCATCCCTGATCCCATCCCTTTGTGTGTCCATCCCCGATCCCATCCCTTTGTGTGTCCATCCCCGATCCCATCCCTTTGTGTGTCCATCCCCGATCCCATCCCTCTGTGTGTCCATCCCCATTCCCATCCCTTTGTGTGTCCATCCCTGATCCCATCCCTTTGTGTGTCCATCCCCGATCCCATCCCTTTGTGTGTCCATCCCTGATCCCATCCCTTTGTGTGTCCCTCCCTATTCCCATCCCTTTGTGTGTCCATCCCCATTCCCAATACCTTTGTGTGTCCATCCCTGATCCCATCCCTTTGTGTGTCCATCCCTGATCCCATCCCTTTGTGTGTCCATCCCCATTCCCATCCCTTTGTGTGTCCATCCCCATTCCCATCCCTTTGTGTGTCCATCCCTGATTCCATCCCTTTGTGTGTCCATCCCTGATCCCATCCCTTTGTGTGTCCATCCCTGATCCCAATCCCTTTGTGTGTCCATCCCCATTCCCAATCCCTTTGTGTGTCCATCCCTGATCCCAATCCCTTTGTGTGTCCATCCCTGATCCCATCCCTGATCCCATCCCTGATCCCATCCCTTTGTGTGTCCATCCCTGATCCCATCCCTTTGTGTGTCCATCCCCGATCCCATCCCTTTGTGTGTCCATCCCTGATCCCATCCCTTTGTGTGTCCATCCCCATTCCCAATCCCTTTGTGTGTCCATCCCCATTCCCAATCCCTTTGTGTGTCCATCCCCATTCCCAATCCCTTTGTGTGTCCATCCCTGATCCCATCCCTTTGTGTGTCCATCCCTGGTCCCATCCCTTTGTGTGTCCATCCCTGATCCCAATCCCTTTGTGTGTCCATCCCCATTCCCATCCCTTTGTGTGTCCATCCCTGATCCCATCCCTTTGTGTGTCCATCCCCATTCCCATCCCTTTGTGTATCCATCCCTATTCCCAATCCCTTTGTGTGTCCATCCCCATTCCCATCCCTCTGTGTGTCCATCCCTGATCCCATCCCTTTGTGTGTCCATCCCCATTCCCATCCCTTTGTGTGTCCATCCCTATTCCCAATCCCTTTGTGTGTCCATCCCATCCCCATCCCTTTGTGTGTCCATCCCTATTCCCATCCCTTTGTGTGTCCATCCCTGATCCCATCCCTGATCCCATCCCTGATCCCATCCCTTTGTGTGTCCATCCCTATTCCCAATCCCTTTGTGTGTCCATCCCTATTCCCATCCCTTTGTGTGTCCATCCCCATTCCCATCCCTCTGTGTATCCATCCCCGCTCTCCCTGCCTCCATTCCCGGTATTCCCGGTATTCCCCAGACGTCTGCGGCGATGAGCGGACCCGCTCCAAGCTCCTGGAGCTGAAGCACAAGCGCGCGGCCGTGATGAAATCCCAGGAAAAGCACAAATCCCTGCTCCAGCGCCGCGCTTCCAGCGCCGGGAGCCGCGGGTGAGGCCGGGATCCAAGGGATGGGAATGGGAAAACCCCCTTGGAGCAGCTCCAGTGCCTAAAGGGAACCTGGAGCGGGGCTTGGGGTAAGGGGTGGGAGGAGGAGTTTGGAATTCCAATGGGAAGAGTTGGATGGGGTCTATGGGATGAGGGTGGTGGGAGACGGGAATGGGAATGTTCTGGATGCTCCAATGTGGTTGGATGGGGCTTGGAGCATCCTGGTCCCTTGGGATGTATCCCTATGGAATGGGGTGAGCCTCTGAGGCTTGGAGCATCCGGGTCCATTGGGATGTATCCCTATGGAATGGGGTGAGCCTCTGAGGCTTGGAGCATCCGGGTCCATTCAGATGTATCCCTATGGATTGGGATTGAGCCTTAGGGCCCTGGAGTATTCCGGTCCATTGGGATGTATCCCTGTGGATTGGGATGCTCCTCGGGGACCTGGAGCATCCTCCTCCTTGGGGATTTATCCCTATGGACTGGGATTGAGCCTTAGGGCCCTGGAGTATTCTGGTCCGTTGGGATGTATCCCTGTGGATTGGGATGCACCTCTGGGGCTTGGAGCATCCTGGTCCATTGGGATGTGTCCCTATGGAATGGGATTGAGCCTCCAGGGCCTGGATCCTCCCTGCCCATGGGGCTGTATCCCTATGGAATGGGATGCTCCTCTGGGGCTTGAAGCCTCCTGGTCCCTGGGGCTGTATCCCTATGGATTGGGATGAGGCTCTGGGGCTGTATCCCTATGGATGGGGATGAGACCCCGGGGCCGTATCCGTATGGATGGGGATGAGACCCCGGGGCCGTATCCCTATGGATTGGGATGAGACCCTGGGGCCGTATCCCTATGAATTGGGATGAGACCCCGGGGCTGTATCCCTATAGATCGGGATGAGACCCTGGGGCTGTATCCCTATGGATCGGGATGAGGCTCTGGGGCTGTATCCCTATGGATGGGGATGAGACCCTGGGGCCGTATCCCTATGGCTTGGGATGAGACCCCGGGGCCGTATCCCTATGGATTGGGATGAGACCCCGGGGCCGTATCCCTATGGATTGGGATGAGACCCCGGGGCCGTATCCCTATGGATGGGGATGAGACCCCGGGGCCGTATCCCTATGGATGGGGATGAGACCCCGGGGCTGTATCCCTATGGATGGGGATGAGACCCCGGGGCCGTATCCCTATGGATGGGGATGAGGCCCCGGGGCCGTATCCCTATGGCTCCATCCGTGCCGTTGCCGGCATTCCCAGGAAAGTCGTGCGCCGCGCCAGCCTCTCGGAGCGCTGCAGCCTCTACCGGCGGGAGCACGAGCGCGAGGCCCTGGTGTGGCAGCGGCGCCGCGGGAGCCCCGAGGTGATTCCCGATGGGAATGGGTCGGGATGGGATCCGCCCGGGATCCCTCCTGTCCCCCTCCCCCCCCTGCACTCTTCCCAACAGCATCCAATGGGATCGGATCCGGAGCAACCCAACGGGGTCCCGAGCCCCCCCCACACCTTGGCCGATCTCAAGAGGCTCCGGGCGGCTTCCAAGGGGCAGCGGCTGGAGCGGGAACGTCGGGATGCGGAGCGGGAATGTCGGGATCTGGAATGGGAACGTCGGGATCTGGAGCGGGAACGTCGGGATCCGGAGCGGGAACGTCGGGATCCGGAGCGGGAATGTCGGGATCTGGAATGGGATCGTCGGGATCTGGAGCGGGGACGCCAGGATCCGGAGCGGGAACGTCGGGATCTGGAACGGGAACGTCGGGATCTGGAGCGGGAATGTCAGGATCCGGAATGGGAACATCGGGATCCGGAGCGGGAACGTCGGGATCCGGAGCGGGAACGTCGGGATCCGGAGCGGGAATGTCGGGATCTGGAGCGGGAACGTCGGGATCAGGAGCAGGAACGTCGGGATCCGGAGCGGGATCTTCGGGATCTGGAAAGGGATCATTGGGATCCAGAGCAGGATCATTGGGATCCAGAGTGGAAACATCAGGATCTGGAACGGGATCATTGGGATCCGGAACGGGATCATCAGGATCCAGAACGGGATCATCGGGATCCAGAGCAGGAACGTCGGGATCCGGAACGGGATCGTTGGGATCCGGAGCCGCCGCTCCTGAAGCTGACGGCGCCCCTGGAGGAGGCTCCGGGCGGGAAGCGCCGGTGCTGCCGGGTGATGTGAGAGCAGCCGGGGATCGGGAATGCTTGGGATCAGGGATCTCGGGATCTTCAGCATCCTTCGGGATCATCAGCATCCTTCGGGATCATCAGCATCCTTCGGGATCTTTGGCATCTTCAGCATCCTTCAGCATCCTTCGGGATCTTCAGCATCCTTCGGGATCTTCCGGATCTTCCGGATCTTCGGGATTGTCAACATCCTTCGGGATCTCTGGGATCTTCAGGATCTTCAGCATCCTTCGGGATCTTTGGAATCTTTGGGATCTTCGGGATCATCAGCATCCTTCGGGATCTTCCGGATCTTCAGCATCCTTTGGGATCTTTGGCATCTTCAGCATCCTTCAGCATCCTTTGGGATCTCTGGGATCTTCAGGATCTTCAGCATCCTTCGGGATCTTCAGCATCCTTTGGGATCTTTGGAATCTTCGGGATCTTCGGGATCTTTGGGATCGTCAGCATCCTTCGGGATCTTCCGCATCCTTCGGGATCTTCCGGATCTTCGGCATCCTTCAGGATCTTTGGAATCTTCGGGATCCTCGGGATCCTCAGGATCTTTGGGATCTTTGGGATCTTCAGCATCCTTCAGGATCTTTGGGATCTTTGGGATCTTCAGCATCCTTCGGGATCTTCGGCATCCTTCGGGATCTTTGGAATCTTTGGAATCTTCCGGATCTTCGGGATCTTCAGCATCCTTTGGGATCTTTGGGATCCTCGGGATCTTCGGGACCTTTGGGATCTTCGGGATCTTTGGAACCTTCAGGATCTTCGGGACCTTTGGGATCTTCAGGATCCTTCAGGATCTTTGGGATTTTGGGGATCTTCGGGATCCTGGGGATCTTCAGGACCTTCGGGATCTTCAAGATCCGTTGGGATCCTCGGGCTCTTTGGGACCAGGAATCCTTGGGATCTTTGGGATCTTTGGGACCTTCGGGGTCCTCAGGATTTTTGGGATCAGGAATCCTTGGGATCTTTGGGATCTTTGGGATCTTTGGGACCTTCGGGGTCCTCGGGATTTTTGGGATCCTTGGGATTTGGACGTTTTTCTTCCCAAATATTCCCGGTTTTTGGTGGTTTTTCTTGCCCTGAAGGTTCTTGCATGCGGGGGCAGCCCCATAGCGAGGGGTGGTTGTGGGGCAGCCCCATGGCAATGGGGAGCTGTGGGGCAGCCCCATAGCGAGGGGTGGTTGTGGGGCAGCCCCATGGCAATGGGGAGCTGTGGGGCAGCCCTGTAGCAAGGGGTGGTTGTGGAGCAGCCCCATAGCGAGGGGGGATTATGGGGCAACCCCATAGCAATGGGGAGCTGTGGGGCAGCCCCATAACGAGGGGTGGTTGTGGGGCAGCCCCAGAGCGGGGGGGGGGGTGGGGGGGGGGTGTGGGGCAACCCCATAGTGAGGGGTGGTTGTGGGGCAGCCCCATAGCAACGGGGGGTTGTGGGGCAGCCCCATAGCGAGGAGTGGTTGTGAGGCAGCCCCGTAGTGAGTGGTGGTTGTGGGGCAGCCCCATGGGGAGGAGGGGTTGTGGGGCAGCCCCATTGTGAGGAGTGTTTGTGGGGCAGCCCCATAGCGAGGGGGGGTTGTGGGGCAGCCCCATAATGAGGGGTGGTTGTGGGGCAGCCCCATGGCAATGGGGAGTTGTGGGGCAGCCCCATAGCGAGGGGTGGTTGTGGGGCAGCCCCTAGCAAAGGGTGGTTGTGGGGCAGCTTCATAGCGAGGGGTGGTTGTGGGGCAGCCCCATGGCAATGGGGAGCTGTGGGGCAGCCACGGATGGGGGCATCTGTGGGGCAGCCCCATAGCAATGGGTGTCTGTGGGGCACCCACTGGGTGGGGGGGGTGTTGGCTGTAGGGTGCCCCATAGCAAGGTACATCCATGGGGCACCTATGGGAGGGATCTGTGGGGCAGATCTATGGGGCACTTACTGGGGGAGTCCTATGGGGCATCCTATAGCAAGAGGTCACTATGGGGCACCCCATAGCAAGGAGCATCTATGGGGCACCCCACACTGAGGATGTGTCTGTGGAGCATCAATGGAGGGGGTACTTATGGGGCACCCCATAGCAAGGAGCATCTGTGGGGCACCCCACATTGAGGATGTGTCTATGGGGCCTCAATGGAGGGGGGAATCTGTGGGGCACCCCATAGCAAAGGGTGTCTATGGGGCAGCCACACTGCAGGGGTCTATGGGGCAGCCATGGGGGTCACAAAGCACATCTATGGGGCACCCCATAGCAATGAGCTGCTCTGGGGCCCCGCAGGGTCCCTATGGGGCGCCCCACGGCCGGGCCCATCTATGGGGCACGGGGGGGGGTTGTTCCCATTCCCTTGGTGTCACCTCTCCGCCTGTGCTATAAATACCCCCCCCCGCCCCTCCCCCCCCCATGGGTGCCGCAGGGTCCCCGCACCCCCCACTTATGGGTCACCCCCTCCAGCCCCATAGCGCTGCCCCCCCCCCTCCCCGTCGCCCCGTCGCCCCATAGGGCGCTATGGGGCAGGGACAGCCCCGCCCTGCCTATTGGGTGCTGGTGAAGGTCAGGGTCCACCCCAGCCCCATAGCTCCTCCTCCTGCCCCATAGCACCCGTAGCACCCATAGCACAAAGGTGAGGCGCTGGGGGGGGGGGGGTTATGGGGCTCTGCCCCATAGCGCTATGGGGCAGGGAGGGGGGTGTGGTGGTGGTGGCTGTGTGGGGCTGATAAGGGGGAACGGGTGCCCCACAATGCATCCGGGGGGGGGGGAATGTGTGGGGCTGGGCCGCATGGAATGGGGGGGGAGCACATGGGAAGGGGTTGCTGTGGGGTGCCCCATGGCAACGGCTGTCTATGGGGCACCCATCGGGGTGTCTGTGGGCCCCCCCATTGGTCTCTATGGGGCACCCATGGGGGTGTCTGTGTCCCCCCACATTGGTCTCTATGGGGCACCCATGGGGGTGTCTGTGTCCCCCCACATTGGTCTCTATGGGGCGCCCCATAGCAAGGGGTATCTGTGGGCCCCCCCATTGGTCTCTGTGGGGTGCCCCATAGCAAGGGGTGTCTATGGGCCCCCCACATTGGTCTCTGTGGGGTGCCCCATAGCAAGGGGTGTCTATGGGCCCCCCATATTGGTTTCTATGGGGCATCCATGTAGGTGTCTGTGTCCCCCCACATTGGTCTCTATGGGGTGCCCCATAGCAAGGGGTATCTGTGGGCCCCCGCATTGGTCTCTGTGGGGTGCCCCATAGCAAGGGGTGTCTATGGGCCCCCCACATTGGTCTCTGTGGGGTGCCCCATAGCAAGGGGTGCCTATGGGCCCCCCACATTGGTCTCTATGGGGCGCCCCATAGCAAGAGGTGTCTATGGGCCCCCCACATTGGTTTCTATGGGGCATCCATGTGGGTGTCTGTGTCCCCCCACATTGGTCTCTATGGGGCGCCCCATAGCAAGGGGTATCTGTGGGCCCCCACATTGGTCTCTATGGGGTGCCCCATAGCAAGGGGTGTTTATGGGCCCCCCCACATTGGTCTCTGTGGGGTGCCCCATAGCAAGGGGTGTCTGTGGGCCCCCACATTGGTCTCTGTGGGGTGCCCTATAGCGACCCCCTCGCTGGCCCTTGTGGTGCCGCCCCTTCAGCACCCGCAGCCAATCAGCTTCGGGTGGGCGGGGCCAGCAGCAGCCGCTCCGCTCCCTGATTGGCCGGCGGGAGGGGATGAGCCGTTAGCGCCATTGGGGGGCGCAGGAAGCTGTGGGGGGGGGGGCAATGAAGCAGCGAGGGTCAGGGGGGCGCTATGGGGTCACTATGGGGCGCTATGGGGGAGCTATGGGGTCACTATGGGGCGCTATGGGGTCACTGTGGGGCGCTATGGGGGAGCTATGGGGTCACTATGGGGCGCTATGGGGTCACTGTGGGGCGCTATGGGGGAGCTATGGGGTCACTATGGGGCGCTATGGGGGCGCTATGGGGTCACTATGGGGCGCTATGGGGTCACTATGGGGCGCTATGGGGCGCTATGGGGTCACTATGGGGCGCTATGGGGGAGCTATGGGGTCACTATGGGGCGCTATGGGGTCACTATGGGGCGCTATGGGGCGCTATGGGGTCACTATGGGGGCGCTATGGGGCGCTATGGGGGCGCTATGGGGTCACTATGGGGCGCTATGGGGGCGCTATGGGGTCACTATGGGGCGCTATGGGGCGCTATGGGGTCGCTATGGGGGCGCTATGGGGTCACTATGGGGCGCTATGGGGGCGCTATGGGGTCGCTATGGGGCGCTATGGGGTCACTACAGGGCACTGTGTGGTCACTATGGGGCGCTATGGAGTCACTATGGGGGCGCTATGGGGCGCTATGGGGTCACTACAGGGCACTGTGTAGTCACTATGGGGCACTATGGAGTCACTATGGGGCGCTATGGAGTCACTATGGGGCGCTACGGGGTCACTATGGGGATCTATGGGGTCTCTATGGGGAGCTATGGGGTCACTATAGGGCACTGTGGTCACTGTGGGGCGCTATGAAGTCACTATGGGGCACTATGGGGTCACTATGGGGCGCTATGGGGTCTCTATGGGGCGCTATGGGGTCACTATGGGGCGCTGTGGGGTCACTGTGTGGCCCTATGGAGTCACTATGTGGCACTATGGGGTCACTGCTATGGAGTCACTATGGGGTCACTATGGGGTGCTGTGGGGTCACTATGGGACACTGTGGGGTCACTGTGGGGTGCTATGGAGTCACTATATGGATCTGTGGGGTCACTATGGGGCGCTATGGTTTCAGTATGGGGCCCTATGTGTCACTGTGGGGCGCTATAGGGTCACTATGGGGAGCTATGGAGTCACTATAGGGCGCTATGGGGTCACTGTGGGGCGCTATGGAGTCAGTATGGGGCCCTATGTGTCACTGTGGGGCGCTATGGGGTCACTATGGGGAGCTATGGAGTCACTATGGGGCGCTATGGGGTCACTGTGGGGCGCTGTGGTGTCAATATGGAGCACTATGGGGTCGCTATGGAGTCGCTGTGGGGCGCTATGGGGTCACTATGGGGTGCTATGGAGTCACTATGGGGCGCTATGGGCCCCTATGGGGCGCTATGGAGTCAGTATAGGGTCACTATGGGGCACTATGGAGTCACTATAGAGCCGCTATGGGGTCGCTATGGGGTAATGACCACCATGGGGCGCTGTGGGTCTCTCTTAGCTCTGTGGGGCGGGGACGGTCGCTATGGGGCGCTGTTGGGCAATGGAGGGCGCGCTATGGGGCCCTGGGTGGGCTCTATGGGCCGCCGTGGGGCACTGTGGGGAGGGGGCGCTATGGGGCACCATGGAGTGCTATGGGGCGCTGCGTTGTTCTTTGGGGCTCCCCTGTGTCCCCCCCATTCCCCCCGTTCATGTCACCCCCCCCCCGTTGTCCCCATGGGTCCCAGCCCCACATCCCCCCCATGCCCCCCCCCCCCCCCCGGGTCCTGCCGTGGGTCACCCCATAGCCCCGAACCCCGCCCCATGGCCCCATGTTCTGGCTCCATAGCCCCATATCCCAATCCCATATCCCCATGTCCCATATCCCGATATCCCTGTGTCCCCACATCCCATGGCCCCATATCCCCCCAGTGCCCCATATCCCGATATCCCTGTATCCCCATATAGCATGGCCCCATATCCCCCCATATCACCCAGTGCCCCATATCCCGATATCCCTGTATCCCTACATCCCATGGCCCCATATCCCCCCATATCCCCATGTCCCATATCCCGATATCCCTGTGTCCCCACATCCCATGGCCCCATATCCCCCCATATCCCCATGTCCCATATCCCGATATCCCTGTATCCCCACATCCCATGGCCCCATATCCCCCCATGTCCCATATCCCGATATCCCTGTATCCCCACATCCCATGGCCCCATATCCCCCCATGTCCCATATCCCGATATCCCTGTATCCCCACATCCCATGGCCCCATATCCCCCCATATCCCCATGTCCCATATCCCGATATCCCTGTATCCCCATATAGCGTGGCCCCATATCCCCCCATATCACCCAGTGCCCCATATCCCGATATCCCTGTATCCCTACATCCCATGGCCCCATATCCCCCCATATCCCCATGTCCCATATCCCGATATCCCTGTGTCCCCACATCCCATGGCCCCATATCCCCCCAGTGCCCCATATCCCAATATCCCTGTATCCCCACATCCCATGGCCCCATATCCCCCCATGTCCCATATCCCGATATCCCTGTATCCCCACATCCCATGGCCCCATATCCCCCCATATCCCCATGTCCCATATCCCGATATCCCTGTATCCCCACATCCCGTGGCCCCATATCCCCCCATATCCCCCCATATCCCCACAGCCCCCCATGTCCCATATCCCAATCCCATATCCCCATGGCTCTGTGTCCCCATGTGTCCCCATATCCCGATATCCCAACCCCATGTCCTCTATCCCCCTGTCCCCATATCCTCACGCTCCCTATCCCCGTGTCCCGTATCCCAACCCCATAGCCTCATGTCTCTGTGTCCCCATATCCCAATCCCATATCCCTCTATCCCATATCCCTCTATCCCATATCTTGATATTTTGATATCCCATATCCCCATATCCCGATATAGCCTGATATCCCTATATCACCATATCCCAATCCCATATCCCTCTATCCCATATCCCAATATCCCATATCTTGATATTTTGATATCCCATATCCCCATATCCCGATATAGCCTGATATCCCTATATCACCATATCCCAATCCCATATCCCTCTATCCCATATCCCAATATCCCATATCCTGATATCCCATATCCCGATATATCCTGATATCCCTATATCCCCCTATCCCCTTATCCCAATCCCATATCCCTCTACCCCATATCCTGATATCCCATACCTCGGTATTCTGATATCCCATATCTCAATATCCCGATATATCCTAATATCCCTATATCCCTATATTCCTCTATCCCATATCAGGATATCCCTATATCCCCCTATCCCATATCCTGGTATCACTATATCCCCATATCCCGATATCCCTATATCTCATATCCTGATATCCCCATATCCCGGCATCCCATGTCCTGATATCCCGGTATCCCATACCCTGGTATCCCTATATCCCCATATCCCGATGTCCCATGTCCTGATATCCCATACCCTGGTATCCCTATATCCCCATATCCTGATATCCCCATATCCCAACATCCCATGTCTGGATATCCCCATATCTCATACCCTGGTATCCCTATATCGCCATATCCCGATATCCCATATCCTGATATATCCCTATATATTCCTATATATCCCGTTATATCCCGATATATCCCCCTATCCCCCGATATATCCCTATATATCCTGATATATCCCGATGTATCCCTATATATCCTGATATATCCCACTATATCCCGATATATCCCGCTATCCCCCGATATATCCCTATATGTCCCGATATCCCCTGATATATCCCTATATATCCCACTATATCCCACTATATCCCTATGTATCCCGATATATCCCGATATATCCAGATATATCCAGATATCCCTCTATATATCCCGATATATCCCTATGTATCCCGATATATCACGATATATCCCCGATATATCCCACTATATCCCTATATATCCCGCTATATCCCGATATATCCCACTATATCCCTGTATATCCCGCTATATCCCGATGTATCCCGCTCTATCTCCGGACAGCCCCGCACCCCGTCACCCCGTGTCCCTGTCGCTCCCTGTGTCCGCGGCGGTGCCGGGCGGGGCGGAGCCGTTCCCGTTCCCGTTCCCGTTCCCCCGTTCCCGTTCCCATTCCCGGTTCATTCCCTCCCTGCCCTCCCGGCGCGGATGCGAGCGCTGAGGGCGCTGCGGTCCCGCAGGGCCATGGCGGCGGCGGCGGGGTCGGGACCGGGATCGGAGCCGGGATCGGAGCCGGGATCGGGATCGGGATCGGGACGGATCCGGCGGCGGGAGCCGGTGCTGAGCCCCACGTCCATGAACGCGGCCATCCGGAGGGTGCAGTACGCGGTGCGCGGCCCCATCGTGAGCAGGGCGCTGGAGCTGGAGAGGGAGCTGCGGCAGGTAACGGGAGAGGGAACGGGAACGAGCAGGGAATGGAGAGGGAAGGGACCGGGAATGAGCCGGGAATGAGCCGGGAATGAGCCGGGAATGAGCTGGGAATGGAGAGGAAAGGGACTGGGAGTGAGCTGGGAATGGACCCGGGAATGAGCCAGGAATGAGACGGGAATGGAGAGGAAAGGGACCGGGAGTGAACTGGGAATGGACCGGGAATGAGCCGGGAATGAGCTGGGAATGGAGAGGAAAGGGACCGGGAGTGAGCTGGGAATGGACCGGGAATGAGCCGGGAATGAGCTGGGAATGGAGAGGAAAGGGACCGGGAGTGATCTGGGAATGAACCCGGGAATGAGACGGGAATGGAGAGGGAAGGGACCGGGAATGAGCCGGGAATGAGCTGGGAATGGAGAGGAAAGGGACCGGGAGTGAGCTGGGAATGGACCCGGGAATGAGCCGGGAACGAGCTGGGAATGAGCTGGGAATGAACCGGGAATGGACCGGGAATGAGCCGGGAATGAGCTGGGAATGGAGAGGGAAGGGACCGGGAGTGATCTGGGAATGAACCCGGGAATGAGCCGGGAATGAGCTGGGAATGGACCGGGAATGAGCTGGGAATGGAGAGGAAAGGGACTGGGAGTGAGCTGGGAATGGACCCGGGAGTGAGCCAGGAATGAGACGGGAATGGAGAGGAAAGGGACCGGGAGTGAACTGGGAATGGACCGGGAATGAGCCGGGAATGAGCTGGGAATGGAGAGGAAAGGGACCGGGAGTGATCTGGGAATGAACCCGGGAATGAGACGGGAATGGAGAGGGAAGGGACCGGGAATGGAGAGGGAAGGGACCGGGAAGGGACCGGGAGTGAACTGGGAATGGACCGGGAGTGAGCAGGGAATGAGCTGGGAATGAACCGGGAATGAGACGGGAATGGAGAGGGAAGGGACAGGGAATGGAGAGGGAAGGGACCGGGAAGGGACCGGGAGTGAGCTGGGAATGGACCGGGAATGAGCCGGGAATGGAGCCGGGAATGGAGCCGGGAATGAGCCGGGAATGAGCCGGGAATGAGCCGGGAATGAGCTGGGAATGGAGCCGGGAATGAGCCGGGAATGGAGCCGGGAATGGAGCCGGGAATGGCCCCAGCGGGAGCCGCAAACCGGGAATCCCGAACCGGGATCACCGGGAGCCGTCCCCAGAGCGGGACCCCCGGGCCATGAACCGGGAGCACCCAAAGCCCCCCCCGAGGAGCGGGATCGGGACCGGGGGGGGGGTGACCCCGGTACCGGGGCGGTGGAGCTGGGGGTGCCGGTGGGTGCTGGTGGGTCCCGGTGGGTGCCGGGGGGTGCCGGTGGGTGCCGGAGGGTGCCGGAGGGTGCCGGGGGGTGCCGGTGGGTGCCGGAGGGTGCCGGTGGGTGCCGGTGGGTGCCGATGGGTGCCGGTGGGTGCCGGTGGGTGCCGATGGGTGCTGGTGGGTGCTGGTGGGTGCCGGTGGGTGCCGGTGGGTGCCGGTGGGTGCCGGAGGGTGCCGGTGGGTGCTGGGGGGTGCCGGGGGGTGCCGGTGGGTGCCGGGGGGTGCCGGTGGGTGCCGGTGGGTGCCGGGGGGTGCCGGGGGCAGTGGCTCTGGGTGGTACCGGTAGCACTGGGTGGTGCCGGTGGGTGCCAGGGGCGCTCCCTCTGGGTGCTGTTACCGGTGTCAATGGGTGCTGTTACCAGTATCAATGGGTGTTCCCGGTATCAATGGGTGTTACCGGTATCAATGGGTGTTACCGGTGTCAATGGGTGTTACCGGTGCCAGTGGGTGCTGTTACCGGTATCAATGGGTGTTACCGGTATCAATGGGTGTTACCGGTGTCAATGGGTGTTACCGGTGTCAATGGGTGTTACCGGTGTCAATGGGTGCTGTCACTGGTGTCACTGAGTGCTGTTACTGGTAGCTCTGGGTGCTGTTATCAGGAGCTCTGGGTGTTACCGGTATCAGTGGGTGTTACCAATATCAATGGGTGTTACTGGTGTGCCTGGGTGCGTTCACCGGTATCATTGGGTGCTGTTACCAGTGTCCCTGGGTGTTGTCACCAGTATCACTGGGTGCTGTTACCGGTATCACTGGGTGCTGTTACCGGTATCACTGGGTGCTGTTACCAGTGTCCCTGGGTGTTGTCACCAGTATCACTGGGTGCTGTTACCGGTATCACTGGGTGCTGTTACCGGTATCACTGGGTGCTGTTACCGGTATCACTGGGTGCTGTTACCAGTGTCCCTGGGTGTTGTCACCAGTATCACTGGGTGCTGTTACCGGTATCACTGGGTGCCGTTACTGGTGTCAATGGGTGCCGGTAGCTCTGGGTGCTGTTACCGGTGTCCCTGGGTGCTGTTACCGGTATCACTGGGTGCTGTCACTGGTGTCAATGGGTGCTGTCACCGGTATCACTGGGTGCTGTCACCGGTGTCCCTGGGTGCTGTCACCGGTATCACTGGGTGCTGTCACCGGTATCATTGGGTGCTGTCACCGGTATCACTGGGTGCTGTCACCGGTATCATTGGGTGCTGTCACCGGTGTCCCTGGGTGCTGTCACCGGTATCACTGGGTGCTGTCACCGGTATCACTGGGTGCTGTTACCGGTATCACTGGGTGCTGTTCCCGGCATCACTGGGTGCTGTTCCCGGTATCACTGGGTGCTGTCACCGGTATCACTGGGTGCTGTCACCGGTATCACTGGGTGCTGTCACCGGTATCACTGGGTGCTGTCACCGGTATCACTGGGTGCTGTCACCGGTATCACTGGGTGCTGTTACCGGTATCACTGGGTGCTGTCACCGGTATCACTGGGTGCTGTTACCGGTATCACTGGGTGCTGTTACCGGTATCACTGGGTGCTGTCACCGGTGTCCCTGGGTGCTGTCACCGGTATCACTGGGTGCTGTTACCGGTATCACTGGGTGCTGTCACCGGTATCACTGGGTGCTGTTACCGGTATCACTGGGTGCTGTTACCGGTATCACTGGGTGCTGTTACCGGTGTCCCTGGGTGCTGTCACCGGTATCATTGGGTGCTGTCACCGGTATCATTGGGTGCTGTCACCGGTATCACTGGGTGCTGTCACCGGTATCACTGGGTGCTGTTCCCGGTGTCCCTGGGTGCTGTCACCGGTATCACTGGGTGCTGTTACCGGTATCATTGGGTGCTGTTACCGGTGTCCCTGGGTGCTGTCACCGGTATCATTGGGTGCCGGCAGCTCTGGGTGCTCCGGGGCAGAGTCCGGGGCCGGTCCCTCGGCTGGGGCCAAAGTGCGGAGCGATGGGAAAGGGACCGGAACGGGGGCGGGGCCGGCCCCGGGGACCCGGGTCCAATGTCCCAAATGTCCCAGATACCCCTTGCCCCACCTGCCCTGTATCACACATACCCCATATCCCATATCCCATATCCCATATCCCCGTATCCCGTATCCCACATCCCATACCCTACATCCCACATCCCGTATCCCATATCCCCATACCCCACATCCCATACCCCACATCCCGTATCCCACATCCCCATATCCCATACCCCACATCCCACATCCCATATCCTGATATCCCATACCCCATATCCCCATATCCCATATCCCACATCCCATATCCCATACCCCACATCCCATACCCCACATCCCACATCCCATATCCCATGTCCCATACCCCATATCCCATATCCCCACATCCCATACCCCACATCCCACATCCCATATCCCATACCCCACATCCCATACCCCACATCCCACATCCCATATCCCACACCCCACATCCCACACCCCACACCCCACACCCCACACCCCATATCCCACACCCCACACCCCACACCCCACACCCCACATCCCTGTCCCCAGGGTGTTCCCAAGCCCTTCACGGAGGTGATCAAGGCCAATGTCGGTGACGCTCAAGCCATGGGGCAGAAACCCATCACCTTCCTGCGCCAGGTCTGGGGGGCAGCACTGGGGGTCCCGTGTCCCATTGCGGTGCCCCTGCCCCATTGGGGTTCCCCTGACCCATTGGGGTTCCTCTGCCCCATTGGATTGCCCCATCTCCCATTGGGGTTCCTCTGCCCCATTGGGGTTCCCCTGACCCATTGGGGTTCCCCTGCCCCATTGGAGTGCCCCTGCCCCATTGGGGTTCCCCTGCCCCATTGGATTGCCCTATCTCCCATTGGGGTTCCTCTGCCCCATTGGGGTTCCCCTGACCCATTGCGGTGCCCCTGCCCCATTGGATTGCCCCATCTCCTATTGGGGTCCCCTGCCCCATTGGGGTTCCCCTACCCCATTGGATTGCCCCATCTCCTATTGGGGTCCCCATCTCCTATTGGGGTCCCCTGCCCCGTTGGGGTGCTCCTGCCCCATTGCTGTCCCCGTGCCCCATTGCTCTCCCGTGCCCCATTGCTGTCCCCCTGCCCCATTGCTCTCCCCGTGCCCCATTGCTGTCCCCGTGCCCCATTGCTGTCCCCATGCCCCATTGCTGTCCCCGTGCCCCATTGCTGTCCCATGCCCCATTGCTGTCCCCCTGCCCCATTGCTCTCCCCGTGCCCCATTGCTGTCCCCGTGCCCCATTGCTGTCCCCGTGCCCCATTGCTGTCCCCATGCCCCATTGCTGTCCCCATGCCCCATTGCTGTCCCCGTGCCCCATTGCTGTCCCCGTGCCCCATTGCTCTCCCGTGCCCCATTGCTGTCCCCGTGCCCCATTGTCTCTCCCCGTGCCCCATTGCTGTCCCCGTGCCCCACTGCTGCCCCCCAGGTTGCCGCCCTGTGTCTGTACCCGCCGCTGCTCTCGGACCCCTCCTTCCCCGAGGACGCCAAAGCTCGCGCCCGGCGCCTGCTGGATGCGTGTGCGGGGCAGAGCGTGGGTGAGCGGGGACCGGGGGGGCTCTGACGTCACCTGGGGGGGCTGTGACGTCATGGGGGGAGGCCTGTGACGTCATCGGGGGCTGTGACGTCATCTGGGGGCGTGACGTTATGGGGGGGGCTGTGACGTCATCGGGGGCTGCGACGTCATCTGGGGCTGTGACATCATCTGTGGGGCAGTGACGTCATCTGTGGGGCTGTGACGTCATATGTGGGGCTGTGACCTCACCCGTGGGGCTGTGACATCATCCGTGGGGCTGTGACGTCATCCGTGGGGCTGTGACGTCATATGTGGGACTGTGACCTCACCCGTGGGGCTGTGACATCATCCGTGGGGCTGTGACGTCATCCGTGGGGCTGTGACGTCATATGTGGGACTGTGACCTCACCCGTGGGCTGTGACCTCACCCGTGGGGCTGTGACATCACCCTTGGGGCAGTGACGCCACCCATGGGGTTGTGACATCCGGCCTGGGGCTGTGACATCACCCGTGGGGCAGTGACGTCACCAGTGGGGCAGTGACGTCACCCATAGGGCACCGGTGTCACCTGTGGGACAATGATGTCACCTGTGGAGCAGTGACATCACCCAGGGGGCTGTGACGTCACTTATGGGGCAGTAACGTCACCTATGGGCACCTGTGGGGCCCTAACATCAGCTATGGGGCAGTGACCTCACCCATGGGGCCCTGGAACCACCTATAGGGCATCGGTGTCCCCTTTAGGACCCCACCATCGCCTTTGGGGTCCCAGGGTCCCATCTGGGGACCTCGGTGTCACCTTTGGGACTTGAGCATCACTTGTGGGGCCCTGGTGCCCCCTTTACCCCCTGGTGTCCCATTGATGCCCCGTTTAGAACCTCGGTGTCCCCTCAGTGCCCCCCAAGACCCCATTTCCCCCTCCCCGCACACACCCCCCCACCCCCCCATATCCCCCCACCCCCCCCATATCCCCCCATATCCCCCCCCATATCCCCCCATATCCCCCCACACCCCCCATATCCCCCCCACCCCCCAACCCCATATCCCCCCATATGCCCCGCACACCCCCCCCACCCCCCCACCCCCCATATCCCCCCATATCCCCCCCACATCCCCCCCCATATCCCCCCCACACCCCTCATATCCCCCCATATCCCCCACACACCCCCCGCACACCA